GAGTTTGTCGTAGTCGTCGTTTCTAATTCATCACAATGTGTAAACAAATAACTCGTACTGGATGTAGAATAAAAAAAAATTGGCTGCTACAATCAGCCAACGTCTTCTCGATCAGAGGTAAGTTGAAGAGACGTTGTGATTGGCCTAGATGATTGTCAATTAAAACACTCATTAACATAATTACCCGTTGAAAAATCGACGGGTTCCTGCAGTGTCGATAGAGGGCCATGCAGAATAAACCAGTCGGGGTGATTTCGCAGTTACAGGTGATTTTGCAGTTACAGGTGATTTTTTTTTTATTTTATTTAAACTACAAAAATAAATTAATCGCCCTGACTGCGCCAGGAGTGATTTCGCGCTAACACCTCCATTTCGCGATTTTTTAAATTTTATTTAAACTACAAAAACAAATTAATCGCCTCGACTGCGCCAGTCTAGTGCCTGTGATACATCATAACATATTACTTATATGTGCATGAGATGTGAGAGCAGTAGATTTGATCACAACAAACCAGAACGACAAATATGTCGATTTTAATAAACCACGTGGCCCCGTGACCAGATTCACTGACTATCGGATTCTTGGGCAATGGACTTTATACTTGTCTTCATTCTTAGTTAAGTGGGACCCCCTCCGAAGTTCACGTTAATTCAGGGGCGTGAGCTGTTCCGTCGCTGACAACATCATGAATATAATCATTTCAAGTAGTTTGACAATTATTACGACAGTCTCCATATTTTCGTGCGATGCTTCTTTTACGCTGCCATAATTCGTTCCGTCTTTCTCTGTGTATGTGCATGCGCGCGTATCTGTATTGGTGTGTGCGTGCGTGTGTTGTACTGACGTAAATGTACTATTTATGCCGCATCATGGTTAAAATGTACCACATTGTACTTGCATGGTTTACAACGTCTTTAACATGACTATCAACTTAAATTTGTGATAGGTGACATTTTTATTTGTTCTTTTTTCTTTCTTTCTTTTTCGTTTTTTTTTTTTTTTTTTCTGTTCGGTTATTTTCAGTTGCTGTTGAAGTTCGACGGAGAAGGTACACTGCCCAGAAATCTTACAATCCTTACAAAAAAGAAGAACAACCCAACAAAGAATGGGAAGGCGAGCTGTGTAGGTCAAAATGTTGACTATCTGCCATTTTGTTGCGTGCAACACGAGTGATAAAATAAAAAAATACACCATTCAATTTGCGAGCTGTCTTGAGTGTTAACACCAACTTCACCTGCACCCAGGTTTTTGTGTGAATTTAATTTTATACTGACACGTAGAATAAATTTATTAACACCAAATTGTAAAAAAAAATAATACGCTGTTTTTTCTTTATTAATATTAATATTATTATTAACATCACTAGTTTATTTGTATTTTTCAGACACGTTTTCATTCGTGCATTGCATTGGTTGTTCATCGTATTTGTGTTCTTTCTTTTTGCTTCTTTCAGTATGGTGACATCACGTTGCATGACGTCACAGTGCAGTGCGTTCGTTTTCATTAACGTTAGTATACGCATGCGCCATGGTAAACTGCATGACTACATCACACGGAGTTAACTTTGTACGACTAACTGTACTGACGTGGTAGATTAAGTTGTAGCGATGTGATGTGACACTGTCCTAATCGGTAGTAGTTGTTGTTCGTAGTAGTAGTAGTATTAACAATAATTATAGAATAGACGTAGTATCAGTCATCGTAGTTGTCAGTCACATGAACACCCACAGTATACGTCAGGCCTGTAGAACCTCTTTTCTCCAGATTAACAGATTAGGTTATTATGCATATGATCGGTGTCGGGAATTTCACGTTATTCTGGGGTCTGTGATATGATAATGACATATGCGTTGGGCTTAATGTGGTTGTATCATTCCATATCATATAACATTTTCCTCATGATTTTTTTCTCGGTTAATGATTGAATTATACTATACAACCATTCTTTGAACATCATAAGCTGAATTCCTCGCCACAGTCACTATAAAGAATCATATCCAGCTTACTCATTTCGTATTCATCAAAACAGCTATTTACATCGTGTCAAGATGGAATACACGTCTTGTCGTAGTTACGTCATGGCACTCTAGTGAATCATGAATATATTATTATTGCATTTCACAGAAAAAACATCCTCGCGAGTGGACGTCTGATATATGGCATTGTGCAGGCGAACCCAGAAGTTGTAAGTGTTTCTTTTATTCTCTACCAATTCTCCCCAAATTTCGATGCCTTCAACCATTGAGTTTTGTATCCAAGGCAAGTATGTCTGGACTGTACCTTGAATACCTCACCCCGGGATACTTCGTGGAGACAGGCAAGTGACAGATATGACGTCATCGTACAACGCAAATAATTATATCGAGGCCTGATCGAGGTAGTCACATTCCATTGACACATTTATGTATCAATTCGAGTAACTTATTTATGCGCACGTTTATCCAAATTTTTCGCTGTAGCTAAAAATCGTGTATAGAGTTGCGTTGGAATTAATTCGGTAGAATGAATTAGTCAGCGTGGGTGTTATAAATATAAACATTCAGACGTGTTATCTTTGTTTAATAACAGGTATGTGTGGTTCCTGCTTCTTCCCCTGCTTCATGTGTGAGCTTTCTGCGCGTCTGGAGGAGCCGTTCTGTGCTGGTTTCTGGTGGCCATGTGGTCTCACGGGGCTTAGAACCAAAATGAGATTGCAGCATAAAATACGGGTAAGTTTAACAAGCTAGAACATTTTTTGTAAATATTGCCAAACATGTTAAACTATTTTAACAATATATATTTGTTATATTTTACGATCAATGTTAAGATATGGGATGAGAAATGGTGTTTTTCGTGAATAATAAATATTTCATAATTGGAAAATAAATTGACAGTAAATTATATAAATGTGACGTCACAATGTCGCGGCCAGTGTGCGCAATTTTCCGAACGAATATAACTATAAAAATGAGAAAAAGAAGCCGCGAACTTAAATACCCAAGATATAATGTAACAGCTCACTGCTTCCATATATTCGTGGAGAGAGAGAGGTGAACAGATATAAACGGATACATAGTAGTGATTATAAAGATGCAAAAATATCGATATTTTCTTTCACTCTACAGGGTGACGTGTTTAATGACGTGCTGTGCGCTACATGTTGCGGACCCTGTGCTGCCTGTCAGATGGCCCGAGAACTCGACTACATCGACGTGCAACTTACCGATTGATATGGCTCGATACGGGCGTGTTTTATTCATCACGATTCCAGTGAATTCTATCACATAAGAACTCTCTTTATTCGTCGCGCTATGCAACCTATATTATGAAGCCAAAATTCACAAAAATGGGCAGTAATTTTACAGGTTATCAATGTCAACACTGTCGTCGATCGACGGTAGATGCTCTGAACCGTGATTTGCGCAGGATGGCGGTATTCATAACGATTTGGTGAGTCGTACATCCACGTACATCGCAACCAGATTAGTGGTTTAGAATGATTGCCGCCACCAACGACCGGTAACGGAAGTTTTGTTGTAATGATAATATTGCTTTGCCGAGTCAGACTGAGCATTACATCGTAAAAAGCAGCTGTGACTATTAACGTAAGAGTAACACGTAATGCAGCTATAGTCGCGCCCTCTATCGACAAATTGCTTCTATGACGCAAATGAATGAAGACATTGTATTGCGGTTGTTCGTCAATACAAATGGTTCGTGAGATCTACTCTACATGAAGACAGCATAACTAAAAGGAGTTGAAGTTTTGAACGGCATTGCTTTCACTCATTTACATCATTTTTAAATAACATTAGCGCTTCGTCACTAGATGGCGCTCTTTACCAGAACGGCGTATTGATGTGCGTACGGTACGGATACGGTATCCAGAACCTGTGCAGAAAATCTTACCATTATCAAAAGTATCGATGTGCTCTTCTCTTCAATATTTCCATTTTCAAATTAAACGTGATTTTCAAATATTTTTCATCTATTTCCACATTTTTGTTCTCTTTTCTCGTTTAAAAGTATTTTACAAAACACAACGCGAACCATTCACTTTCGAGTCGAATTAATACGTGTACGTGCAATAAGATCTGAGCTTTAGATTAGATTATTTTTTACCAAAGTTAGGCGAATTTTAAAATCAATTTAAAGTCTGTAGCATATATATCCCATTTCAGTACATTTACACCTCCAAGTGTGCGTAAACGTGTGTATAATTTTGTGTTGTATATTTCTGATTTGCAATTAAGTCTAGATTTGGAATTTATATACGTGCGTTATTTTTCTTTTACTAAGAATGTGTCAGTATTGGCTTTGAGCATGCGTGAATCTGGTTGTTAATACCTACGTTGTCGTTTTCTAAATATTGTGGAATACTTTATTTTTCACTTGGAAATTATTCTCACTCATGGGTTAAGAATGTGTATTTTTTATGTAAACACAACACATCAGTGAAATGTAATTGCATGTGTTCATTTAATAGGGGTTAAAGTAATTCACAGTATTTCATGTGGGCGTATGCTGCACCCATAATGTGTGGGAAATCGGCATCGTTGATTTAAGTGGAGTACTATGCAGTTTATTTGATACCTACTCGAATGCATTATGTCGACTTGTTTGGCGCCTAGGTTTGGTCAACAGCCCGAATATGTGACACAGTTTCTCCTGCAGTCACGTAATGCACACACACACACATATGGTATGCGGTTCAATGGCCTCACTGAACATTTAACTGCGGTGAGTTATGTCAAGCCAATGACGGACTGTTTGTCGCTTAGAAACCATTACTTTGTTTATTTTTGTCTTGTATTTTGTGAGTGGGCGAATGCGACATGCTCCGTCGAGTCAAACTGCGCAGACTTATTTGACCACGTCTAATCAGCCAAGAAAAGTGTTTTGCGTGAATTGTTATACGACTTACTGTCTTTAATATGCCATGTATTGAACTAGTTTTGTATGTGTTCTGAACTGATAACCCCCATCACTGACTTGGTACTTGAGACAGTCTTAACGATCAGTAGGGACTATCACCCAGGTGATAATAACAAATACACTTGTTATTGTTATTTTCAGACCCGAAATTAGAAAATACGATTCCAAGTGAAACATAACACGCCTGAGGGGTTTACCTGTTTAAAAAGTAGGGGCTTTGGAATTTGTTTTTCCGCAAATGTTGTACTCAAAACTCTCTTGTACATTTATTTTACACGCAGTTTATTTTTGTGTTTTTGCTTTTCACCATCAACATTTTTACTCCATATATTCCGCCACCATGGGCCCGGTTTTTAAACGGAGAAGCCCTGCATCATTGGCATGATGTATGAGAGGGAATCCACGCCATGCTGCATTAGTTCAAACTCAATCTATCACGTGACATATAACAATATGTTTTGAATGGTTTATTTACGTTGCACTGTCTCAGTATGTTGCGTATACGATATTTTATGAAGCCCATAGAAGAACGCGCCATTAAATGTATCTTGATATTTTTTCACTTTTATATTTTATGGATTATCTGACTATATACTTTATTATTAATTTATGTAACATCAATTATTATTATTAATATTATAATTAATTAATAAATAAATAATAAAGCTGTGCCATTATGGATTTTTTTGTGTGGTCAATATTTCTTACAAAATAAACATTCATCGTCGACAATCTATTTTATATATCAGATATATAAATGATTATGCACGCACAAATTTATTTAGTTTTTATCTAAAAGTAAGCACTACACACTTTCCGTACACTCTCGGGAATATATTAAACAGGACTTCCAGATTTCGACTAGTAAGATTTTGGAAAAATGCAACTGTATAAGAACTAAACACATTTTGGGGAACTTGTTTTGACATAATTGGAGGGTGTGGAGTTCGAATTTGCTGTATACCGATCTGAACTTTTATCCTGTGACCCCTAAAAACTAAATGGTCGCCATACAACACCAACACAAATCAACAATTGCCATCTGATTTGTAAGTTGCAAATGAACCTAAATTGTTTCTGACTTTGACTTTTGACCTTTAAAATCCCAGAAAACAAAATGGCCGTCATTTATTCAATACGGACGATATGTTTTATAGCACCTAGTGGCGTATGCTAATTCCATTTTGTGTGGGAAATCGGCATCGTTGATTTAAAATGGAGTACTATGTAGTTTATTTGATAACTACTCGAATGCATTATGTCGACGTGTTTGGCGCCTGGTATCGGTCAACAGCCTGAATCTGTGACACAGTTTCTCCTGCGGTCGTGTAATGCACACACACATACACACATTCATATACAGTAGGTGGTTCACGGACCTCACTGGGCATTCAGCTGAGGTGAATTATGCCAAGCCATTGAACGCCATGACACACTGTTTGTCGCTTAGAAACCATTGATGCGTTTCCAGCGAGTCGATTATTATTTGTCTTGTATTTTGTGAGTGAGCGAATGCGACATGCTCTGTCTAGCCAAACTGCGCAGACTTACTTGACTATATCTAATCAGCCAAGAAAAGTGTTTTGCGTGAATTGTTATACGACTTACTGTCTTTATTATGCCAATATGTTACCTGTATTGAACTAGTCTTGTATGTGTTCTGAACTGATGACCCCCATCACTGACTTGGTACTTGAGACAGTTAACGATCTTATTGCAAATAGAGACTTGTAGTGCTTAGTTACAATCAGTAGGGACTATCACCCAGGTGATAATAACAAATACAATTGTTATTGTTATTGTTATTTTCAGACCCAAAATTAGAAAATACGAATCTAAGTGTAACAATGTGCCCGAAAACAAGCCTGAGGGGTTTACCTGTTTAACAAGTAGGGACTTTAGGAATTTGTTTTTTCGTAAATGTTGTACTCACACTCTTTTGTACATCATACATTCATTGTACACACAATTTTTTGTTTGTGTTTTTGCTTTTCACCATCGACATTTTTACTCCACACATTCCGCCACCCGCCGGTTTTAAAACCGAGAAGCCCTGCATCATTGACATAATGCATGAGAGGGAATCCACGCCATGCTGTATTATTGCAAACTCTGTCACGTGACATATAACAATATGACGAAATGTATACTTCTAAACTTCTGCGACCAATACTCGCGGAAACAGTTCAATGCTTGTTTGTTTTATGGGTTTAATTTATCCACCGTCATCTTTGTTGGAACATGGACACGATCATAGCACGTTTTTAATGGTTTATTTACGTTTCACTGTCTCAGTATGTTGCGTATGCCATAATTTATAAAGCTCATAGAAGGACGCGCCATTAAATGTATGTTGATATTTTTTCACTTTTATATTTTATGGATTATCTGACTATATACTTTATTATTAATTTATGTAACATCAATTATTGTTATTGATATTATAATTAATAAATAATTAATAAAGCTTGCCATTATTTTTGTGTGGCCAATAAACAAAATAAACATTCATCATCGACAATCTATTTATAGAAAAAGTAAGCACTACACACTGTTTCGGTAGACTCTCAGGAATATTAAATAGGATTTTGGAAAAATGCAACTGTTCAACCCCTAAACACATTTTGGGAAATTTGTTTTGACATAATTGGAGGGTGCGGAATTCGAAACTGCTGTAAAACAATCTGAACTTTGACCCCTTGACCCCTAACAAAATAAATGGTCGCCATACAACACCAACGCAAATCCACAATTGTCATCTGATTTGTAAGTTGCAAATGAACCTAAATTGTTTCTGACTTTGACTTTTGACCTTTAAAATCCAAGAAAACAAAATGGCCGTCATTTATTTAATACGGACCCTATGTTTCATAACACATGGTTATGGATTTTAGAGGGAAGGGAAAAGTAGGAAATTCCGATACTTTTGTTAATTCGAGGTTACTGAATCCGAATTCATTGTATAGCAAGCTGAATTTTAACTACTTGACCTCCAACTCTACAAAATGGACGCCTGATAATACATCATCATCGCACAATTAGCAATTTGGGTGTAATAGGCAATTCAAATTTTCATCTGTATTTTTGTTCTAAATAAACTTGTGAACATGATAAACAATAACATATTTGAGTTTTGAGCGATTGGCTTGAAACCCCAAGAACACAAAGTGGTAACAATATTGTGAGTTGTTTTTTTTTTACGGAAACCTAGATGCATGCAGTCTGGGGAAACAGCGCCTCAGTTTCGATAACTTTTGGTTGGGAATCTACATCTTGTATTTGTTAAGGTAAATGT